TAAAAAAACAGTGACAATGGTGGCAATTTTTACCTTTCAACTTCTTAAAGGTGCTTCAGGGGTACAAGAAGACTCTCAGGTGTTATAAACAGAGAGAATGGCCTGTGCAATATAACCGGTGTTTGAGAAAAAGAAGCATTAAAGAACGGCAAATATTTGGTTAAAAGCAGGCTCCCTAGGAGCAAGGGCTGCCTTTGACACTGGAAAGGGCCCAGGGCCAGAATAACAAATGGAGGCCTTCATATCATGTGCTTGATATGCAAAAGTTAAAAAATAAAGGTAACAAATTAAAATATGTTCTACCCTTCCCCCTTAAATATCTTTATAATAATCTGTAAGAAAGAACACTTGGGATTGTTGGAGTTCCATGCTGGAATGAGGTGGTGAAGTGAACCTGTCTCCAGCCCACACATGTGGCTGCATATGTGTGGACATGGCAGCCTGCATGTACGTGCTCTGTTCACATCCCTGCAAACAGCAATCCCTTGGCTACCTTTAAGTTCTAGATGTGTGAACATCAGCAGTATGGTTCACCCTTACGAAGGTGATCTGGGAAAGAGACTCTTATAGACTCCGAGGCTAAGTTAAGGGCCATGTGGGCATGGGATTTTAGGGTCCTGTTACCTGGATGATGGTCTAGAAGGGGTGGATTGAATGGATTCTGGGTGGGCACCTGACCCATGGGATGTAGTACAGTAGAAAGAGGCCCAGACTTGCCCTAAAGAATGTGGCTAAGGTAAGATCCCTTTTGTCTGGATCTAAGGGTAGTACTGCCTGTGAGAGATAAGAAACATGGGAAGAAATGCATGTCTGGAATAGACAGTTGAGGGCTCTTACCCATTATAAGGAATTTCATCTGTATCCTGTAAGGAGCAAGCAGCCTTTGAAATGAAATGAGATGGTCACTGGAAGATAGAAGGAACCTCAAAATGTGGAAGGTGGATTAGAGGAGAGCATTTTAGGAGGGAACAATTGAGCAAGAAGTTGAGTCAGAACAGCTCAGAGCATGTTTGGGGGATTCTGAGCATTCTTTTGGGTAAAAGCAAGTACATATAAAAGAGATTAGCAAGAAACAAACTGGATGGGGGTAGGGTGTGCCATATTGTGAAGAGCTTTGCATGTCAAGGAGATTTTAATAACTAGTTTGGTGCGTAGACCCATTAAACATTTGAGCAGAACGTTTTGGCCAGTGCTCAGTTTTCAGGGAGTTAATCTGGCAGTATGTGCAAAATGGACTGAAAGGAAAGAGCTGTCAGTAGGAATACCAGCTAGGATGTTTTCCACGTAAGAGATGATAAAGATTTGCACTAAGGAAATGATTGTAGGAAAGAAGAAAGGAGATAGGAATGAGAGATACCCCAAAAGCAGAGTCTGTGTCACTTGGCAATCGACTGAAACTCAGTTTTCAAGTTGGAGAAACCAGGATAATGATAACCTAAGAACTAATGATTTAATTTAATTTTACCTTGTCTCTTTCCTAAGGAGATCTGAAACAATTTAAATACACACACACATACCAAAATTAGTATCACAGAATTTGAAAGTTGAAAACATACTGAGGGAGAAAAATGAAAGCAAAATTTCCCACTGTGCTTATTTAACAATGTTACTGTGAGCTCTCAGTAAGAAGAGAACATCTGAGGTAAGAGGAGAGCGGGACAGAAGGGTGTTGAATTCGGTTTGAGGGGATGGTGGATGTCTATCACACACTCAAGAGCTAGTGATACTGATTTGGGAGTCAGCAATAGACAGAAGACAGCAAAAGCTGTGGGAATTAGTGAGATCATTCAGGAGAGAAAAATAGGGAACAGCAAGGGTTCAAGGATAGACCTTTGGGAAAAGTGTATCTTTAAGGGCTGGGGAGAGGAACAGCCGTCTTAGGTGTCCTAAGATGTTCAGGCTAGCTCATATCAGGAAATGGTAAGGAGCCTTTTAAATACGGCCATTTATGACACTCCTGCTTATGGCAGACATCTT